TCTTTCTCTCTCTCTCTCATTCTCCATTTCCTCATTATTCTATTAGTTATTATTAATGAGTGGCTTCATTATAATACTGTTATTAACTTTTATACTGTAGCTGCATGATAATGTTTTATAACTTATTATTATTATTATTATTATTATTATTATCAATTATTATTATCAATTGTTATTATTATTAATATTATCACTATTATTATTATTAATATTGTTTTCATCATTATTATTATTATTTAGTGTTTGCATTTTAACTATTTTACTAATAAATACTGCAGCTAAATATTTTTGCAGAATGGTAGAGGGTGGGGCTGGTTATAATGATATTCATACATCAATTGTCACGTGATATAGGGCGGATCTGAGAATTAGATTGCAGCAATTATTTTGTCAAGGGGCCAAGGGCTAGCTTTCACTTCTCTCAGGTTTATCAGAAGACTCTGCAGTCGCCATGTCTCGTAAGATAATTGGGATCCTTCCTAACTATTACGTGCACGTACTAGACCTGGTAAGATCACTCACTGAGACTGGTAGCATTACATAATGCCAATTTCCTTCTTCTCCCTCCATTTCCTGTCCCTCTACAGAATACTAATATAACTACAGTTGAAATTGGCCCGCAGAACCTTGTCCTACAGGACAATCACTCTCTTGAAGCCGGCCCTCTTCCCTTCGTGACGATACCCCCGGGCCACTACTGCCGAGTGGAACATCCTATCGATATCAAGTAAGTGGGTGGGGCTTGTGCATATGTACATGTACATGTATAACTGGGATTAGGATTAGGCCGAAAATATTTATTTCTAGTTTGGTTCATTTTGAATTTTTGAAATATTGTCAAATTAAGAACTGAACCCATGAATTAAAAAAAACTTGCAAAAAATTAGCTATTTCTTTACAGTGGATGTACAGGAAGAGAGAGAAAGTAAGAGAGAGAGAGAGAGAGAGAGAGCTAGAGGTGCTATATGTAATGTATATAAAGTAGCTATTACATTCATGTGTACATGTACATGTACTGTATGGTTCATTAATTCATGTTCATGTTGTATGGTTACATGTACTTTACTTTGAGTCTGTTCCCAATAGTAAACCAATAGTTGATGGGAAGTTATATGAACTGAGATTTGGACACAGAGAAATAAGACTCCATGGAGTAAGTAATTAATAATAATAATAATAATAATAATAATAATAATAATTGAAATCATGATCACCTTCAGCTGCCTCTAGATGTAATTACATATTTAGTGTAGAGTGTGGCTAGTAGCACATTCCTTATTTGGTAAAGTATACATTTAGTTAAAATAATTATTACATTTCTATATGGGCATGGACACCCTCTCTTAGCGGGTAAACCCCTTTAATTATTAATGTTACTATTGGAAATATTGACTATTGATCTTCTGATTTTGTTCAAAGACTTCTCCAGCAGTAGAAGAGAAGGCTTAGAGCATTAATGATAAACTAACTCCTTTTCATTCCTCTGATCATGAGAGTAGTAAAGATGCAAGGAATATGTAATACTTGGTTTAAATGCTACCTCATTTGCTGTAGATATTTCATTCACACATGTACATGTATTGTAGATACAGTCCAGCCTGCCTGGAGGTGTGTGTGTGTGTGTGTGTGTGTGTATGTACATAGCTGTTGAAGTATTGATCACACACACACACACATCAGAGGATAGGTTAGGGAATTCTCCTTGTGTAGACACAACACATGCTTCCTATTGTTTGTAATTAGCTGCATAACATTATGTTAATGTTCTCATTATAGTCTAATAAAGTCTATTGCTTTAGTTGCTTAGATTAACTCCTTACATGTTAATGTTCTTGTCATTTTCTTTAGGATCCTTTCCCATTGTTTCCTGGAGAGAGATTACCTGAGAGTGGCAGTGCAACTGGTAGGTTCTTATTTATTAATGTACATCAGGTTTTGTAATTGAAAGTTTGACTCTGCACCAATTTGACTCAAATTTATTGACATTTTGCACCAAATGACTGTTTTTGCTCCAATATTGTAAAAATGGCAGAATTAACATTAATTTCCTGAGCATATTATCCCAAATGACAATAGTAATTGTGGCCCATAGCAACCTGAATTGAGCCAATTGAGTGTCAATTTGGCTTATCAAAAACACTGGTGTACATGTACATATACATGTATGTGTACACGTTCATGTATCTCTGAATTGTAATAGAGGTGGACCTACTTCAAGCAAACATAAGGATTTAGGAGTGTGTTACAATAAACCACATCTTAACACTATAAGATATTAATAGAGTACTACCATACTGTCCTGTGTGTATACACTTCCTATTCCTCTCTCTCTCTCTCTGCTTTATCTCCCATTGACCATTTCCTAAGTTATTTATTTCATTGCATTGTATTACTCATGATTAGTTGGTTTAGTCGGAAATAGGTTGTGTACCCTACTCTCATATGGCAATAATTTATTACATTAATATTATTAATGTGTAAACAAAATATTGCCTGTAGCCAAGGCAGTACCTTTGATCATGATGTGCAACATGTTGTAGTCATCACAAGCGAATGCCCACCTTAAGTGCATAGTTCACATTATGTATGACACTATATACATAATGTTAACAATGGTACACTGCTGTATACATAATGTGTCAGTCTTGTGTCATAATGTATAATGTATTGTATCTTGTATACATGTTGTTAATGTTTATAACAGTGTAGTTTATTTACAGAGTTTGTAAATATAAACTAGGGAAACAGTATCTCTTTTCTGAAATCACTTGCTAGAATGTATTGTATACAAACATACATACATACATGTACAATAATAAAGAGTGTTTACATGTATATCTAATCCTGTGTCACTCTGTTCTCTCCTCTCTCCTTTCTCTCTCTCTCTCCATTAGATTATTCTCGTGCTATCAAGCGTCTTCCAACCATAAAAGCAGATCATGGGATTCACTTGAGTGCTCTGGTTGATATGGAGGAGACTGATACTGCTCCAGCTCGTAAGGCAGGGGATGAGTGGCAGCTGAGAGGACCACTGACCTACTTACCCAAACCAGAAGAGGTCAGCATCAATAGTAATACAACTACTATCTGATAGTTACATATATAGTGTATATACACCTTGGCATAGTATTCTTTAGTGTCCCTATATTCAGTGGTCCATATATATTTAATCTTAGTTACACATGTTTCTAGTTGCAACTACATGAAAATGGTATGGATATACATTATCATTGAGAATGGCAAGAGCTACCTTATTCATGAGTTTTTTCATTTTCCCATGAGTATATAGTTGAGTACATTTCTTTTTTTGTATCATTATACATGCAAGCTCAGCTATGGATGATTTGAGAGCAATTGAGTCTTGAGAAAATAAGGAATGATATGGAATGTAGAATGTAGAATGTAGAATGTAGAATGTAGAATGTAGAATGTAGAATGTAGAATGTAGAAATGTTTCTAGTTAATGAGGAGATAGTGTAATGTTATTACTTTATGTACATGGTAAGTAAATGGTATGCATGTGTTTACATCTAATACAATTAGCATTACAAATTATACTCTAATTGAGTTTAGCAATTACATCCATACCTAAATTGTCCATACCTGAGCTTGTAATGATACACAATTAGTGTATTCAACTATTCCTTTGGCTCATGGGAATTAAAAAAGTGGTGGTGCACTCATGAATGTCCTAATGTAATGTGGTAAGAAATATAATATTTAGGTATATGGTATGACTTTTTAATGATGTCAGGGATGTGTTTATGTAAATTGTGACTTTGTTAGCTTTTGAAAACATGATGTGGTTATTTTGTGAATGGCATTGTGTTTCCTCTCTCTTCCCTTCCTCCTCCACCTGTAGCAAGTAGTAAAGATGGTGTCTCCTATTATAATAACTCCGGGTCATGCTGTTCGTCTCAGAGCTCGTCAAGCCTTCACTGACGCTAAGGGAATGTAAGACTAACCACACCCACTGGTTAATTAATAATTATTAATAGTTATCGTTGCACTGGTGAGGAGTGGTTGGTGAGGGATATTGGAGCTTATCTACCTGATGTGTATGAGGAGGTGAGGATTATTATAGTATAAGATATAGCATGTACAGTATGTTGACTCTCATTATTCATATCTTTCCTATGAATGACGTTTGATTTATAATAATCATTGGGATACTGTAAATGAAAAACTTTTCAGTCCATCATTGTGGAGGTATACTATCACTTGCTACAATGGACCGACAGGCTAAAAGCTATCAATTCTACTTCTCCACGTCACCCCAGTGGCTCCAAACAGTTGCAGACCTGGGAAAAGAATGATAAAGGTTGCAATTTTTTACTTTTGAAGCTATAACTGCTTGCTCTTACAAAAATGGCAGAAAGTGTGTTGAGTTCGATTGAAGCGTCATTCACAGGAAAGATATGAATAGTACAATGTGTATTTGCTATAAGTGATAATGTGTATCAAGTTACTTATTTGTTGGACACTTGCACATCCTTAGCTAACTTATACACCTACTATCTATGCTTTTACACATTACTAGTATCATACCCTGATTAAGCTTATACACTTACTATTTTATGTACATGTACCTGGACTACCTCTGCCTTTAAACCCTACTATCATAACACTGATTAAGCTTATACAGACTCCTCACCTGTGACTTATTATTTTATGATTTCCTCCCCCATTAGGTAGTAGAAGAGGTTGATGCTTACACTCTAACACCAAACAATGCTTTACACATCAGAGCCAACTGTAACTTCACTGATCAGTTTGGTAGGGGGAGAAGGATTGGAGAGGAGTGGCTGGTTAAATATGATGACACCGAATCATACATACCTGATGTCACTGAGGTAAGGAAACACTTTATATAATATTAAACATGCACAACATTATTGCCTGCTCATTTCATGAGTCAAAACAATTTCTCCTTGTCACAAGCAACACAAGGTTTCAGAGCCAGTGTGTTTACATCAAGAATATATTTAGTACAGCATGTTGCATCCATTGACTTCAAACTTAATCATGTTGCTAATCGCAAGTGCAACAATGAATCTATCATTTGTATTCCTTAGTTTTACCTATAATCACAAATATTGCTGGAGCAGTTCCAGGCTTCCATTTTAAAGCTTACATGTACTTTCAAAACAGAGCAGCTGCAATAGTATGGAAAGGTTGCATATTCTTAATGATAATGAGAAAGAGTCTATCACAGCTACTATACTAACCCCAATGAAAACGGTCGCCGGCAACCACAAATTGTGTTACTGAGCAACAGAATGCCATTTAATCCAATTAGAGGAAGAGGGAGACAAACTGCAGAAGAATTCAAAAATGTTCACATTTTGTACAATCAGAACTAATACAAACGATCTGTTGGGTACCTTTGTACAGTATTAAGTGTTGCTGCTGTTACATTAAAAAGCATAGACAGCAGCCAAATGGTCCAAACTACAGATTGAGATACATATGTACATATGTACATAATAAAGCAATCCTGAAGTGACAACATTACCTGACATTTTTATTAGAGCTGAGCGGTATACTGGTAATTAGTTAAACCGCGGTTTAATTGCAAAAATACCGTATTGTTCCTAATTATTTTATATACCGTTTAATTTTACAATCCCATGTGGCACTGGCATGCTGCTTAGACATGGAAGCTGATCTTGAGGCGAGTGTGGATTGTGATGTTCTGAGCGATGAAACAGATTCATCTTTGAGCTTAATAACTGAAGCTTCATCTGATTCATTGTTTCAACAACTTGTTCAGAAAAAGAACACTACCTCACAAGTGTGGCGCTACTTCGGCTTTGAACCTGACTCTAATGGGCGCCCAAAGAACTGTGATACCCCTAAATGTAAGCTTTGCTTATTGTGTGTGACAGCAAAGTGGGGAAACACTAGTAACTTACTGAATCATTTGCGAAAGCACCACCTTGAAGAGTATGGTATTGTGAAGTCCACTACTGGCACTAGGCAACAGCAGAGACGCAGCACTAACCGTACAACTGAGCAAGATGATGATGGTCAGTTAACAATTGAACAGTCTTTTAGTCGCTCTAAGATGTGGAGTAGATCGTCTAGAGAGCATGAAAGAGCAGTAAAAGCAGTTACTCGTTTTCTAGTGA